ACTGTTATGATGAATCGACTCCGAAACAGCCAGGATCAGAGGGAACAGGAAAGCAGTTTCTATGTGTTTGTCCTTTGTGACTGAATTATATTTACTATCATCAGGGAATGTTTGTTCCTCTGAGAATCACCATTGTACTGTCTGCGGGCAGTTAATATAATAATATTCAGAGGATATTTGTGAATTCTTGTCATTAATTGTCATGACTGCACGTGCGAAATATTCTGAATATGGAGTCTTCCTTACTGGAAAGCTTCAGATTCAGAGCTTGGAGCACTGGCTTGGAATCGTCTATATCTCGTTCCGTTGATGCTTTAAAGCCGTGGAGTTTCCAACGTTCGCCTTGAGAAAGGCATAATGTTATACCTAAGTGCCAGTATTAGTTGCTGCTATTTGAAGATGACGAGGCCGATCTATGATGGTTTCCGATCTGTTCATGCATATATGCTTTCCAATGTCGTTCTCAGATGTCTTGTTACAATCCGTTTCTCTGGCTCGATTAACGGCACCAATGTTCAAATCTTGGTTGATGGGGGTAGCTTAACAACCCGATCATCCCCTAAATTTAAAGTTGCCAGCTCATACTTCTGCTGGACACGTTTCCAATGACTCTCATTTTATGAACGATGAGGGTATATATGATTAAAGATTTATTAGTTAAAAATATTCATTTATTACATCAAAATTTTCACCCGTTACTGAGTAATCATTGAATTTGGTAACATTATTGCAAAATAGCTAATGAATAATATATTTTCAATAATATTGTACTAAAACAGCGATATTTTAATATTTAGTAATTTAAATATTATTATTATTATTTATAAATATTCTTCCAAAATTTATAAGTTCTTTTTCAAAGATTAACAGACCAACTACTATATCTGAAATTTATAGATGAATATATTTTTCATACTAATTGAGTTGTGAACTAAAATAATGTGATAAATTATTTTAAGTTGGATTTTGTTAGTAGCCTAAGCCCACTAATTCAATTCATGTCTTAATTATAGTTATTCGATAAATTATAAGTTTTCTTTCAAAAACTCATTATTCAACTAGCTAATGTGCTCAAGATTCATAAGTAAATCTATTTTTTATATTGGTTGAGCTATAAATTAAAATAGTGTGTCTTTTCAAATTTTATAAGTTATCTTTCAAAAATTTACAGCTAGTGTAAAAATCACATTCATTTAAAAATTATAAAAACACTAGTTAAACTGTAAATTTATAGAGAATTTATAGATGTCAAATGTTAACTTGTAAATTATTATATCATAGAAAAATAAGGATTGAATTAAATTTAAGTAAGGATCAACAGACTTGAAAATTTGAAATAAGGATCTAAGATCTTTGTGTGTTTGGATTCACGTCCTCCATGTTTGGATACAAAAGTTTGAATTTAATTTGATTCAAATCCATATTTTATAATAATGTCTTTGTAATTTCAAATTCTCTATAAACTTTGGTATTCAAAATTCTACCTATTTCAACCATCTCATTATCTTCATGTTCTCATTATTGATGCTTTAGTTAGTCTTGTCTTTATCTGTCGTTTTTGTCTCTCATCCAGTGAAAAATAAAGGTAAACTCATTACTTTAAATCTTTCATTTCTGCTTTGAATTTTTGTACATTTTCCAAACAAAGAATTTTAAATATAAAGATTTTATGTATAAGATTTTGAATCTAAAATTGAAATTGAAATTCATCATTCCAAATACTACTTTAGTGAATAGGTCTTAAAATATGCTATTTTTATTCATAAATTTGCAACTATAAAAACAAGAATTTTCAAAATCATCAGATTTTGCTAATTTGTAAAGGAAAAAAAAAGTTAACCATGTCACTATGTCTAATGATTTGCTATATCCATACCCCTAATTATTTGTCATTTTTAATATACGAATTTGCAAATAAAATTCATTAATTTGTCAAGAAAAATGATTTTCAATTTATTTTATATTTAACAAGTTTTTTCATTGCAAATTAGCGAATTTCACTCGTAGAGTTAAATAACCAAGGAACAAGACCAGCAAATTTTTAGATCAATTTACTAAAAGACTTTTGATTCTTATTTTAAATTTACAAATCTTCGGATCCCTTGTCTAAATTTCAAATTTTAAGTGACGGCCTAGCTTAAAACGAAGCATGTGTGTGTGTATTTTCCTTTGATATCCCTCTTTAGGTGTATGTACTACTGGTTTATGTGTTGATAGTTAATAAATAAAAATATGCCTAATGTTTCGTTATTGAAAAAAGTGTATATATGAACGCGGCTGTTTTATAACTGGACACGTGTTAAATGTAAAAGTTTAATATTTAATTTCTGAAGTAGATGACACCACCCAACATATATTAATAAATGAAAGTAAGAGTTTAACTACTTGACATGCAGAGTTGAAGATGCGTATTTCAGAAGTCCAAGAGCATTATTCATTAATTTTGAAATAAAAAAGGCCACGAAACTCATTAGAAACGTAGCCAGCCAACCAATTCGAACAATTGTTTGCTTCTCTAAATAAAGGATTTAAAGCGATTGTTTAGTTTTTCATAATAAAATTTTTAATTTTCTTAATAGTATCAAACAAATAAGGATGGTTTTGTTTGGAACTATGCTAAATGAGTGTCAGTACTTCAAGAGAATTGCCATACACGTTAACTTTATCAAATATATCCTTCCAACAAAGTATGAGCCTTTAAAGAATACCCCAAAAATTCTATAAAAGTATTAAGAAAGTAACCAATATATTTAGTAAAGCTTTTAAGCCAATTTCTTTTGTGATCATTGATAAGACATTTACAAACAGCAATGCCATTAGTTCTAATTGAGTCATCAATGTCAAGTCTCACCCTACTTAGTTCAAGCGAATGCTGCCTGATTTGTTATTTATCACAACTCAAGGTCAAGTGAGTGATTGAGTCTTGATTGAAGGCCAAAGTCATTGATAATGTCTTCGATGTATGAGAAAGCAATATTTTTGCCATAGGTGGCTCCTTCATAATTGATCTTTTGGCATTGCTCTTTCCATAAGTTCCACCACATATGAACAAGAACTAAGAAGTCCATGCCAAGGGGCTCTCATCAAGTCTTGTGAAGTGAAGACAGTACATCATCCATAGACAACAGGAATGAAATATGGTTTTAGTGACTAGCTATAACATTGAGTAGTTGTACCATCCCTTAGCTTGTAACTCCCCCTTTGGTATTTTGCAATGCTCTATCTCATTTTAGTTCATAAATAGTACATGTATATTCATGCATGTTATGGATTTAAATCATATCATCTTGATCAAACTGCAATGAACACAAATTTAAAAGGTAAATCTTTTTCAAAAAAACTAACCTATTAAGTCAAAATTTATTGAACTCATAAATCTTACTATATTTGTGAGACTCTCCATGACACTTTGATCTTTTCTATGACATTTATCTCCCAGTAAAAACATAAATATTGCAAGTACCTGTCCCAAAAAAAATCATTCTAAAAAACTAATTTGCAGAATAAGAGTCTTTTAAACTTATAATTTTTTTTTTAAAAGGTCCAATATGACACTCACAACACAAACATTGTACTCACAACTGGAAGGGCCATCCAGAGAAGTTCATCTTTGATCTCATGCCCAAGTTCTGTGGTTCTCCAACGAGAACAAGCTCTTGATTGTGGTGGTTGGACTCTATGATCATGTTTCCAAGCTCAAGGGAAGAAGCAAAGATGAGGAAGATGCTGCCTCGGTTCCTGAATCATGGACGTCCTTGCTATAACATGTCTACTTCACTTCAAAATGGCAGAGTAAGGAGACCACTGCCTGCCGCTGCTCCTCCACTTGGCTAAAATGGCACTGTTTCTTTCTTCTTTCTTTTCTTCCTCTTTTTACTCCTTCATCCTATATATAAGATAGAAAGAGAAGTTTTACTAGTCTTATTTATGAGTGACATTATTAAATTTTTATTACAAATTTCCCTCTTACTCTCCATTAAATATTGATGAAAAAATTTGTTATTAAAGTGGGCATATTTAATAAAAATAAAGTTAAAAACTTACTAAATTTTTAAACAAATTATTGAGTTTAAAATTTTCCTTAATTTTAGTAAAATATATTTAAAATGACTTATAAGTAATACTTTTATCTAAGGCCAAACCCCCACATGGTAAAGCTAAACCTCTTTACCGTTCTGTCAGCCTTCCTCCTCTCACTAGGTCAATAGATCATTGTCTCTAAGATTCTATCATCTGTGTTTACGATGGTTGCTAACATAAAAATAAATATAGTACCTCAACTTATCAAAATGAGAGCATGTGTAGAGCTTTACAGCCTCCTTTTACATGCTTTGTGAAGTAGTTCATGTATGCTGTTGATCTAAGTACATGGTTAAAGCATTATGGGGACAACCGGCAAAAGATACTAAAATTCCTTCTCCACACCACCTACCAAGCCATGTTTTGGCGCCAGAGTGAATTTCTTGCAGTGGCGCATAAGAAAATAGAACAATGAATGGCCAGACTTCATAAAACAAACAACAGACGAAGTGAAGAGGAAAGGCAGAAGGCTTCACTTCTGATGAAAGAAACCATTAAGAACCAAAAAGGAATAGAAAACGGCACCGTTTCAACTAAGTGGAGGGAAGGCTTAACGGAGGGAAGCTGACCCTTCTATTTCAATCAATCAATTAGACAGTAGTGTCGCAGATAAGGGTTAGTAGGCATCAAAATAAGCAATTACTAGTTCACTAAGTTTGAGGGAGAGATGAGTCCACAAATGCAAAGATCAAAATTCATTAGCAGTCTGCAACAGTTCAAGTAACTATCTGAATCAACAAAGCAAACATCCAGTAACTGTTATGCTTGAAATTTCATATAACTACATCGCAAAAGGATACCAGTGAAAACAAATTGAAAACAAATTGGAATAACGTCGTAAAAGACAAAAGGTACTAATTAAATGTAGACATTCGAAATTGAGACAAATCAATTGACTCCCCGGGGGTGAGAAATGTGGACACAGAAAAATGAACACTCCCTTGATATAAATAATTCTCTAAAAAGATCGAAGAAATATATACTCATTCAAAAAATCAAAATTAAATGATAATTGGTACAGCCATCAAAAAAATTGCGCTCCCTAGGGTAAATGAGAAACTCGACCCCTCCAAATAATTAGCATGAAATATGAAAATTACAAAATGGTACAAGATGTTTGATAAGAATGCGCTAGAACACCAAGAACGCCATATGAAACGAGCGTCATGATGGTTGTGCCGCTGGAACGATGCTCACAAACGCTACTACTCAAACTCACCAAATAGCGACGGCTAAGAAATTATAAACCAAAAGTTTCTTTTTACATACATTCAAGTTCATGATTGGCTAACATACAGAACAGGGACCAGTCCAGCCATCTTGCCGTCCCTGCCAGGGCGTTTCTTCTTAACCTGCAGGAACAGATAAGCAAGGACTTAAACGGGTGGCAAAACAGGTTTTCCTTAGAAAGGTGAGAAGTCATTAGCGCTATGGTAGAGACAGAGAAAATCGAATCCAGTTGGATTCTTGACATCTCCATCACTATTGCAGACGAAATTACGAAATTACAATAGATATCCCCTTAGGACTTACATAAAACCACCCATCTACTTCGTCTTCAATCTCAACTTCTTCTCCAGCAGTTAAACTCAACTACAAGGAAAAACAATGATGTTAATTATCTCCATGCTCGCACACAGTATTTGCAATCATATTTTCTAGATGAAAAAACATGAATAAATTGAACAGAACAAAACAAAAGAAGCCCAGTTCAGTGAAATGTTCGGAACATTGTAGTCCATGATGAGGTAAAGCCATATGAAGTTCATAATCTGAGTCCACTCACCTCATCATCACCTCCTGCCGTGAAGTCATAAAGTGCTGATCCATATCGCACATTTCCAGATGAAACTTGATCGTCATCTCGAGACTCAAAACTTTGGCTTGCTAAGGGGTTTTCAAATGATTCATATCTTTTCATGATAGGAGATGAGTATGAAGGAGGCTCCTCTCTTATCTGCACAGAATTATTAGATTTAATATTGACAAAGAAAACGGGATCAGAGGAATCATGACTGGTACATCAAAAAGACAGTGGCATCTCACTGGAGAACCACGATCCTCACTGAAGGAACCACCCCAATTGGTTTGTGCCTTCTCCTGGCACAGATAATTTATAGAAAATCAAATTTCTATAAAGTAGGTTTCTTACAGGAGATAGGATTTTATTGACAAATCTATTAAAATGGTCAGGGTAAGGCAAATAATGATCGTCTTATCTCACACAAATTTCAGACCATACAAATTATATACACTCATCCAGCTTCTATTGAAAGCTTTACATGAAAATAAAATTCAGCCGATACAAGAAGCCTTACATATACATGGTGTTCACTCAACACAACCAAAAATGCACTACTGAGGCATCAAATTAGAAAGCAAACACGATAAATTGACACGACTTACTAACGAAGATAAAACGCAGATTTCAGCCATGTAATAATTGTACCATGTGACTTAAAATTCTCATTGCTCTAAATAATAATAAGGCTTGACCTTTTCAATTGACTATGTCAATATTGGAGCATCACGCACTTGTCAATTCTCTTGAAGATAAACATATAGGCATTTTAGACAAGAAATTTGGGGCAAAAAAGGAGGGAAAATGGAAGTTGTGGAGAAAAGAAAAGAAAAACAGGAGCAGTACATCACATTACTAGAAATACAGCATGTCAGATGTTACAATAACCACATATTCTTAATAATAATAACAATAATAATACCCTAGTTTGTGATGATCCATAAGTGGAAGGTTTAGAACTGAAAAGCGAAGGGTAGTTCATTCCACCAAAGTGCGATGATATCGAAGTTTCAACTGATCCTGTTGAATCTGGAGAAGATGATCCCAATGATTTTGCATCATCTTCCTGCCATTGAAAGAAATTATATTAAGTCATATAAACAATTAAGTATCCAGTCTCACATCCTAGGTTGAGTATAGTCAGGATTTGGCTCAATCCACACCTCTACTTCAGATTCTAGAAGTGTTTTTGCCCACAGGTCATCATAGCTAACTGAGGGCCTAGAGATAATATTCTCCTCATCAACTTCAGGCGCATCGGTTCCAGCACCAGCCAAAAATTCATTAACCTAATACCACATAATCATTCAGGTTAAAGGATTAATCCAGAAAAAAGTTGAGGCCCATTTAGGGTAAATCTACAAAATCTTAAAAGCGAGACACTGACCAGTATGACTTGTTTCTGTCTTTATGTATTAGCATAACATAAATATACATCTTTTCAATGTTTATCAATAAAAGACATACATCTCATCAAATTAAAGTTAAAAAATAGGGTCCAACCAAAAATAGAATTCAGAAAACAAAAAAAAAATATATATATATATATCATCCCATACCCTATTCATTGCTGGGGCATTGTTTCCCCACAAGCCATCATCACCAAGGTTTGCCGCCCAAGCATTTACTAGGTCATCATCAAGTGAATCTACTGGCTCTCTAGGTGCTGGTTTGGACTCATAGATGAGATCAGATATACCGGTAGCAACAGCTGGGTCATTCAACCCAGTTGATGCACTAATATTATGGCGTGTGCGATATATTTCAATGAGTTTTGCACTGCCAAAATATAGAGTAGCACAAGCAAAGATCAGAGTGGAGCAGGAAAGAAAATAAATCATGTTCAAGACACAACACTTTGAATACAACCAGAGCACCGTGCTAAAAGCCTTGTACTGTATCATTGTCTAACCTGAGCATCACAATTAAAACAAAGTAAACTGTTTATGTGCACCATCTATAGCACTAAAGAAAGTGGTCCTCCAGCTTGATGTTCATTTAACTAAATAGGCTTTCATCAAAAAGTGATGTAAGGAAAATTCTCACATTTATCGGAAAAATCAGTAATTTTCCTGTCTCAATACATCGTTCAGCTGTTTCAACTATTCCAGAGAGCTAATAGTCTTTAAATGGACCAACAGCCAGTATTTGTTTTGTTATTATTTCCCAAGATATATCAATATGCAAATCTTTAATACTGGTTTGGTAACAAATTTTCTTTTCTTTTTTTTTTTTGGTGGGGGGGATAAAAGGAGGAGCCATATTAGTTTATCAATTGAACGATGAGAAATATAATATTTGAATATCTCTGTTGCATTTCTTAGCCTCTTTGGCTTTTTCTGTAATTCTATTTAAGGAGGATCTCAGTTGTTATTGTTGTTGGGTTCGTCTCACAACTTGTTTCCGTTTAATCTGAAGAAGCTAGTTGGGGCTTACTTTCTCCAATAGAATGGTTCAGAAATCAAGATAGAATATTATTTGAAAAACTAGTACATCTTGTTCAAAATATGTATATGTTTGTCGTTTTGGTTTTGGCATATCTTAGTAGACTATAATTTTTAGAAGCCAAACATGTAACTCTTTATATTCATAGGTTCAGCTATAACTTGTAAAATTAAAACATAATAATAATAATAAGAGGAGGAGGAGGAGGAGGAAGGTATTGATGCAGTTTGAACAAAATAGTACCTTATTGGGCCCAAAGGCAGATACTTTGCCCTAGGAACATAACAAAACAATGAAACGAGGTCCAATAACCTTTCATGGGTTTCATATAGTTTCTTCAGTTCATCATCAGTCCATTCTTTCTTAGCATTGTCATGATTGCGTATCTCCCTATTCATAAACACAGTATTCATGAGTATTTTGCAATCAGGCTGACATGTTTGAAGCAAGCACCAAAATAATACAGCTCTCACTTGATCAAATCATCTTGTCCTCTATACATTTCATCCAGAACCTTTATCATAGGACTTAATAAAGCTCCAAGGCCAGTGCCACTAGCCCCTTGATCCTCTCCATTACTAAGATGCATATCTGAAAACTGTGACTGCAATCCACCCTGTGCTAAAGTATGCAGAAACTCATAAATCTGAAGCCTGAAAGGCTCACCAGATCTGACTGCCATCGTTGTAAGTGCCTGAGCTGCAATAATGCGAATCTGTATGTCCATTCAACACATGATATATCAATTAAACAGCATGTTCTCAGTGAACAAATTAATCATTAATTTTGGAGTGGCAAGCTAACAAAGCAACATTATTCCTTAATATTGTGTAAACTCGTTTAAGAAATAACCATCTGAAAGGGAGAAAAGGGATATACTAAACAAATTTCCCAAGGCCATAACTACAGAATTGAACAAACTACTCAAGTTATGAAACAGAGGAAATGAATTGCTATAAAAGAATAACAATTCAGACACAAGTACCTCCCAGCTACCGCTGAAAGCACACCTCTGGAGCCGAGTCAGGGCACCAGCTAGAGTAGGATTACGAGAACTAGCAGCAGCCACCATTTTATCAGCATCTAACATCATTAATGCAGTACCAGGAGGAGTTGCAGATTCCCATGCATATTCAGATGCAGCATAATTTGCATTTTCTCCCAGAAACCATACCTACAAGCATATGTTATCTTGCAGCAAACTAAAGAAATTTAAATTAATGATGAATTTAAGACTCCTTGTTGAGCATAACACAATGCTTACTGCAGCTTGGACAAGTCTTTGCAATGCAAGAGCAGATTTTGGGTCAGATGCAGAAACCCTGTCCACCGAAGTAAGACCAAGCATAGTTCCTGGTTGTGGGGGTGGCAGATCAAGAACAATAGTAACAGCTTCTAAAGCTTTATGCTTCCCATCAGGACCAGCTCCAACAAGACAAGTCTAGTAACAAAATGTAATTCCAGTCAATCATCCAGTTTAGTAGAAATCATGAAGAAAAACTAGACAATTAGCAATTGATCAGAGTTTGTGCATGCATTTATGTGATTGTGAGTGCTAATAATTGTGTGTGGGAAAGATGTTTGGCTACAGAAATGAACTGATTTCATCACTCTATGATCAGGAGATACCAAGCAGATCAGAATTGCAAAACCCTGTCACAGTTAAAAAAATAATAATAATAATAATAATAATAATAATAATAATAATAATAAAACAAACGAACTTACTTTCCACAATAGTTGTAGCACATCAGCATCGACCTTTCCCGGTACCTTCGTAGCAAATATTCTTGCAATTTCAAGAAGAGTAACAGCCATATCTGGAGAAGCCTTCAAATCAAAATTGAAATACATGTTAAGGCAAAATCATGATTGACATAATGGATGCATCCAACATATATCTTAAGCAATGTTCTACATGAATCCAAAACAACACTAATGATGTGACACAGTGACGACTTTCAGCAAGCATATATGAGCACTAATGTGGGTTGCCGCTGTTGACTGCTCTAGGTTCTTCGTCAGTGCAAACCTCTTCTGTATCATCTCACTGTCTCTGTCCTTGCAACTCCCTCAGCATGAAAGATTTCAGAAATCAAAGAATGAATGAGTGGGTTGTCAGGCTTCAGAAGTCTTCACGTGGCTGTCTCAGTTTGGATTGTCATCTTCTGTCTTCATTGGCCATGGGTTCTTGTTTGGGAGTAATACACTAGCTTCAAGAAAAAGGGAAATATGGGTTATGTGTTTTTTTTCAAAGGACTTTCACATGCCTGAACGTCTCTTGGGTTGAAAAGTCAAAGGGACAGAAGGTGCATAGCCTTAAAGTCAGAAGGGAAGAGGTGATAGCAATAGGCCCCAATGTTTATCAAGAAAAGATGGTGCAAATGGACATATACATGGGTCTGGTCACATTAGCCCCATTTCAGGAAGATAAATGGGCATGATGGTGGGCCCTGAAATGTTTTGCACTGGATCAATAAATTGCTGGGCCAAAATTCTAGTTTAGCTTCGAATGCTTCTTTTAGCCTAAAGATGTAGTTTTACACTTTTACTTGGCCCTAAGGGCAACGGTCTCTTTTGGGGGGGGGGGTAAATAAGATAATAGGGATTAGTTAAAGGCATTAACTGTTAGTTAGGATAGTTAGAGATTATGGGCTGCAAAAGGGCACAAAGGGCAATTGTAATCAGCTTTTGGGAACAATGAAATTGAGCCTCTCTGTTTTCCTCTCCTCCCTCGTCTATCTAGCTATATATATATATATCTCCCTTTTTTCTCTATTTCCCCTGTTTCCCTCCTTTTCCCTTTTCTCTCTCCCTTTCCTGCCTTTATCATGCAACTGATATCCTTAAACAAAGATAACAAGACAACAAAAGAAGGTACACAAGGAGATTGCCCAAACCCTCTAGATATACAACTCAACCAATTGCATACATTTAATTCCAAGAACTTTTAAAGTGAAGAATATATATATAGAAAGATGTTAACAACTGCAATTTTTACAATATAATGATATTTCACCACTAAATCATGTTAATATGACAAATAAAGGCACTAAGTTCATTACTTCCTTTATAGACACACACACACACACACACACACACACACACAGTGATAAGCATTCATGCACACTAAATACATAGAAAGGCTCATAAGAGCTTTTCTATCCCACAGCAAATCCACAAGTGATGACTGAACTGTAGACCATGAGCCAACACCCAAGATATGCCAAAGATACAACTTTCCACCATAAGATATGGGTGGGAAGAAATATCTATAAAAAAACAGTGTCTCCAGCCACAAGCCCCACAACGCCCACAAAAATACAACATAGTTCCAAAGGACTCACTGATTAGTTATAGACACAGTCATCCAAAAATAAGGGACATTCTTAATGTAATGTATGTAAAACAGCATGTGTGATGGAATCACATCTCATTCATCAGCAAAAGTCCATTTACCTTAAAACGGGCATGTAGAGTGAGCAATATATCATTTAACAACGCTGCTGGCCAAGCTGGATCTGAGAGTTCAGATGCAATAATAGATTCTAACTCATCAAATGAGTCATATGGGCTTTGCATCCAGATTAAAGCCTTGATTACCATGCCCCGTACATAAACACATTCGCAGGCAACTGTTGTCCGTACAACTTCCATAAGTGAATCCAATAAACCTCCAATGGTATCCCTGCCACCAGTCCCATTTGATATAGATGAAGTTCTTCTGATGCCTACAACAATTAACATTTAGAAGCTAAGTATGCAATTAGACCATCTATGTACAAAGACTACGCATTTATCAATACTATCCACCAATCCAGCTGGTTTTACACATTCAATAGGTTTAAGTCAAAATAACTAGAGAGATTGGAGATCAATATAGCCATGGAAAGAACTCAAGCAGAGGGTCCCCATTACTTTGATTTACGGATTCATGTAATAAATCCAACTTTTAACAGGATTGAGGGTCGGTATTAAATAGAAAGCATGTAATTTGCATGTCCAAAATAGTATTAAGGGTCCTTTGAGCTATTTAGATCTGTATGCATTTCCAAAGATAAAGTTTTGTAAGTATAATATCACATTAAAAAGATAATAATAAGGTAAAAGAGAGGAGGATGAGATATCCTCCAAAAGAGAAGAATACAGAGAAACAGAAGCTTAGACATGTAACATGGCACAAAATCCCACACTCTAAGAAAAATGTCGGCATTCTTCTCCTATGAAATACACAATATGACTGTATAGACCATACAGAGCCTCAAATTAAAACACCCGAGCCCAACCCCTTGTACTTTTTTCTTTTTTTTTTTAATAACACACTGAAAAAACAGTTTATCTACAAAATAAACTTCTAAATCTAAAGATGGAATAAAAATTATTCCAAGTTGAAGTTATCTTTCCTATCTTCAGAACAAAGCTAGAAGACAATTTCAACATCTAAAGAACAGTGAGATAGAAGAGGAAGGTGAGTCCAATTTGATATGAGCAGTGTTAATCAGCAAAGACATCATTGTGTTGTTTTCTGCTCTCCATACTTAGTATTTTCGGTCCTCTTTTTTTGTGGAAGCATCCCACCAGGAAAAATATTCATCCTCCCCCAGCTGGAGACATAGACCATCACCAATTTGGGCTTATTGCAAGTAATTGGGATCATTCAGCTTGTGCCCATTAAAGAGAGGGAGATACTGATGAAATATAAGAATAATATATTTTGAAGAAACCTAGGCTAGTAGATTATTATTATTCCAGGAAGAAATAGGTTTTCTTGTGTTATTTTAATATGTTGTCTCCTTTGTGTTATTTTAATATTTTGTAAAAGGAAATCTGAAAATTGGCTTTATATGGATGAGTGATTAAGGTTTCCTTAATAGGTAGGCAGCTTTAGTTTAAATAGATCAGGCTTTGCTCTTGTAAGGGGACCTTTTGCTGAATGAATGAATATTATGGGTTAATTTCTGAAAGCTCGCTCCCCCTCTTTGTTCTGCCTACCTTCCTCTTGCCCCCCCTTCTGTCATTATTTTCTTCCCTCTCCCTCTCTGTTTCAGATTTCCCCCTAATCTCTCCTTCCCTGTTTCTCATTCTCCTTCATCTCCTTTTCAGTTCTGCATCCCTCTTCTCCCTCTCTTCCTCTGTTTCTGTCTCTTCTCCCATCTCTCCCTCTATTTGAATCTATACAAGTGTGTGTGTGTGTACTTTAACCCAGATTTGACTATTTTCAGATATCATATGGTGAAGCAAACAAAGAGGGAGGATTCAAAGCAGGGAAGAGGTTTGCTCAGATTCTGAGGGGAAAAAGGGTTGAAAAAAACAATATGGTCTGTTTATTTTGCTGAATGAATCTTGCAGCGGTAGTTACGGCACTAGGGAAAATAGAGGACTTAAACAGTAAGGAGAAGACAGCTCCTGATGTTCAGCCAATTAGAACGAGAAAAAGTATTGAGTTTAAAACTTGCAACAGTCCTACAATAACCACAGATCGGACCAACTATACAATAATTGCATAACAACTACATAGACTGAGGCATGGCAAGCCAACAGAAAACACAAATATACATAATTCATCCACACCATATCCACATGCTTCCTCAGTTCCTCGCCTATTTATACAAGAGAAGTGGTCTACATCTAATTGAAGAAATACCATTTTCACACTTCCTTAATTTATCCCACCCTTTGGTTTCCCTAATCACCCCTTGGTTTCCATGTGAGAGACAAACTATACAACACATAATGACTACATATCAAACAATTTAAAGGGACCTAACTTCTAAATAATCCTTAGAAGAAAATCAGGATTCCACCAAAATTAAAAAACAAAAATACTCTGGCAGTTTAATTATCTGCCTGTCTTCCACTCACTTTTAGTCCCCTTTTATTCCCACCAACCTTATTAACTTACCTTAGAACAAGGTGAAGACCATCCAAAATCTCTTCTGAACAGATCAATTAGAGCAATAGGGCCAACTTTTAGGAGCAAAAAACAAAAAGGCAAGGCATAACTTTGGGGAGGTCAAGTAAGAATATTAAACCGCGAGGATCAAGAACCCTTACAACACAGATGTCATCATATGACCAAAAAAGTCAATAATGATGCTATGCCAAACATCAACAACGAGTAATAATATAGATTACTTTCAGGATGTGCAGTTTCATCTGAATCATGAAGATCTGTAGCCTCTGCATATGTATTAACATGAGCTCCTTCGTCAATATCCTGTAAGCCCAAAGCAAATGCAGCAGCCCGACTTTTACCCATCTCTTGAACTACTCTAGCTGCTGTATGAAGCACAGGTCTAGAAAAGCTACGGAAAGAACTCTCCAGCCTAGAGAAAAGCAGTAAATTACAGATAAGATGCCATTCAATGGTAAGCATTAGACAGCATGAACAAGTACAAAAACAAGTTTTCAGAACCTTCTCATTACAAGTTTTATAAGGGGTTGTGGGCGTTTAGTCTTTTGAGCTTTATCTTTTGAACCTTCCTTTGATGATGCTTCTGGTAACTTGAGAATCTCCCTGGTCAAACGATACCACCCAGCAGCTCGCTCTTCAGTCCTAAAAAGAAGAGGAAAATCCAATCATTACAGCAATGGGTTGATAGCATAACTTCTAACATAGATGCTAGAACTTAACCTAAGAAAGATCAAAGCATGATGATATAGAAGGGTAAGTAGATAAAATTTTTACAACATGAACCACACCTCTCAGCATTATCATATTTTCCCAGTACACATAAAATTGCTTCAAAACAGACTCTTTCACTGGGATCCAAAAGAAGTTGATAGAGCACTGAATTGAACTGAGATCTGATATCCGGCCTCTCTGTGCAAGCAAGTAAACAAGAAATTAAATCATCCCAAATTTCATGGGAATCAATTCTCCTCAAACAACTAAAGATTTTGAAGTCACCAACCATCTAATGCTCGAGCTCTAGATATAGTGTAGCACAACCTGGCTAGAGAAACTCTTGCAAGAACATCATGCAAATGGAGAACATCTTGTAAAGCACCTGCAACGTACAGCAAAATAACCCGAACAAAAGAATTTAAACAACGTGAAATGAAAGCACAGTCATTAAATTCCACAAGGATTTACACCTTACTAAGCACACAAGCAGCAAAAACAACTCAATAAAGAAAAGGAAGTCTCTGGCTTTCCTGTAAATTATATGCTTCAAGAATTATGAATGTTACAAGGGATAGGTGAGTTCTCCATTTTCAGCAGGGCCACAAGACTACAAATTCTTGCATAAAGAATTATATTTATTCTTGGACCACACAACATGGAGGGTTTATCAGGTAGTCTTTAGGACTGGGAAAAAGAAGACACCCATGAAACTTGAGATGGCATAGCAATCAGGAATGCCTACCATACACAACACCAACAAGAAAATCATGGGACATAGAAGACACAGTATATGATGTAATGCAATTCACTGACTTCAAACTAGGAAGAACACAGCGTTCAACAAAACTCCTGTTTTATGTATTTGATTCGGTGGGCAATGGAACTTCATGAATGCAAGAGAACAAGAAAAGGAGGATTTGAGGAATATTCATCCAACATACCTCCAGGCTGCACATGATTCCCTGAAGAAGAATACCCAAGAAGCATTAGACTCAGGAGAGGAAGAAACTTTATTCCAAAATTACATTTGGAAAAAAGAAATCACAAAATATCATTGAAATGGAGAATGATTCTCAAGATTTACTACGTTACCTAAGGCCATTGCGACAGCATAAGGGTCCATTGCAGCTAGCTCAGAAACAATTTCCAATGAATGCCTCACAGAAATAGGATCAGCAAATGAAATCCTGCAGTCAAGTCTGCTTAGTACCGGAAACTATAAACCAGCAAGGAGAAAAGAAACATGCAAGAGTTAATTGTCCATGAATATTTAAGGTAAAACCACAACAAAAGCAATCAGGAAAAAGTTGCTCAAACAGATAAGAGACAAAACAAACAATCCAATTCTTCCATATAGCAGATCAAGTTCTAGGCCCTGGTTCTTTAAAAATCCAGGATCCAGAAATCCTCTCAATTCAAAGATATCAAATAATTGCAAACCGTAAAGCACGATTTCATCCCAATAGATTTTTTTCCATCACAACAGCTTAAGCTGTTAGAAGGCGACCAATGAATGATTTTATTAATATATTTAATGTGCCCCTAATACCAAAGAACTAAGTGCCCCAAGAAGAGAAAAATGCACAGGCCTGCCATACCTAGCACAAAAATTAATTTTAGTTAAGAGAAAGAAAGTGAAAAGGATAAAAATCCAAACCACTTGATCATGAATGCTCTAGTCCTTGTCAAGGACCATTTCATAATCAAAGCTTAAGCTGTTTAAATAAGGCCAATGAATGGTTTTGTTAATGTCTCTAGCACAAAGCTGTGTCCATAAAACTCCAGTAAGTTACTTCCAAAAAAAACTTCCAATCTCAAACTGATGTCGTTTAGGAAAGAAATACCATTGCAATTTCAAAAGAGTAAATTGCACTGGTATTTCTTTTGTTTTTTAAATGGTAAAGATCAATTTATAGCATTCAGTCAAATGAGAAATTGTCTGCAGCCATTAAAATATAGTTGGTTATTGAGGTCCTAATTGGAAGGCGGCATCTCGCTATGAAGAGAGGTTACTAGATATTAAGTATGAATTTGAGTGTTTTGGGTTTAATCTCAACCTGATGCATTCTACATTGCTGTAGAAAAGCATTGAACTTGGATAGCATCAGTTATCTTTTTTGAAGGAAACAATTGCTAGGCTCAAGCATAATTTTCAATGGCATGCCATGGCTATGGCGTTACAATTGTCATTTGGCAGAGAGCACACCATCTTGGCAGCTTGAAGAGCCAGTTTTTGAAGTCCATCTCTTCAACAATGCACTCACTTTGTTCGTCCTCTTTCTTTCCTTTCTCAGCCTTCCAGCATCAAGTTTTAATCACATCTCCAACTTCTTTCATTCTTCAGTTTTGGTTTTCTCTCTGTTCATTCATCTCTCCCTTCTCCGATTTCATCGTGTCATCTTTTCCTTGTCCGTTATTGAAGTTGTGTCCCTCACTGACTGTTTATTTTCCTCATTCTCCATATATGTGTTCAAAGAATTTTAGAGAGTGGCATAACATGCAAACATTCACTCACCTATAAGCAAGTCCTAAATATATACCTCATGCTCACTATTTATGACTCAACATCAAGAACATGATTAAAGTATTTATGATAGAAAATATGGCAAATGTTATTTTAGAAAGAAATAATTGTTTTTGCATTATTTAGTATTTTGTAAGTTTCTTTCTAAGGAAGGAAACCTGACCTGCTTTTGTTTTTTTTTACTCTTTATAAATTTTAAATCTGCAAGTTGAGCTTTCCTTATAGGGAAGGAAACCTCAAGCTTATATTTATTTCATTTTATGTTTCCTTCATAAGAAGGAAACCTTAATTGTGGCTTTTATAAAAAACCACCATACAGCACATGTAAGGAAGTTCTTAGAGAGTTGGAATGAATTGCTGAATTTTGCGAATGTTTCTTAGCCCTGCGTCTCTCCCCTTCTATTCTCCTATCTATCAGTTCTGCGTTCCTCTCCACTTCCCCTGCTTTCTCTGTTTTCTGTCATCTCTCCCCTCTGTTTCGCTCCCCCTTCACCTCTCGCTCTCTGATTCTGTTTCTTCTTCCTCATCCTATTCTGTTCAAATCAATGTGAGTGTGTGTGTTTTACATCAATTTAGGCACTTGAGAATTTCCTTGCCTGCTTAATCCTAAATAATCTAACCAAAGAACCATATGAAATCAATTCAATACAGTTGATATGGTGCCTTATGTCATTGTATGCGTGCACAAGTGCAAGCACATGTACCCTTTTCCACATAGTTACTTTACCAATTATAATGCTTACATTTCAAGAAACATCTTCAAAAGCTCTTAAGGGACCATCAATATCCAATCAACAAGTTAAACAATTTGTTGACGTTAAGATTTACAAAGAAAGTTTAGAGAACATCAATACCAGAACTCCCTCTCCATATTAATTTTCATATATATATATATATGCATTATCTTTTTTAGACAGCACATGTTATTACACAAGTCTTTTATCTTAATTCTAGATTCCAGATTATCTAATTATATACAGCATACTTTAGTGTGCCATGCACCACAGCCCCAAGAGCCTCTGCAGCAACAAGGTGCCACATACCATTAACAACTAAGCCAGTATATCATACTTCATAACGAAAAAAATAATAATATTCATCTGCATGTTGCAAAGCAAAAATTCAAAATGTCAAACACATGAGTATCTAAGTAACTTACCCTTGTACAGCACGATGCAAAAATGCTGGATTTCCAGGATCCAAAGGAAGTCTTCTCAAAGCACTCAGCGCAGAATATTGTAAATTGGTTCGGATGATAGACTATATCAATCAAGATTATTCAGGCACAACAAAAATAAGCAAATTTAAAGCCTTTAAGTTGAATGGACATCTATAATAAAATAAGATTTATTGCTTGGGATTAAATAGTTGTAAGAATAAAAAAACTTAAACCTAAAACAAGTCACTGAACCTCAGTTAAGATGTTAAAAGCCCATGAAAAAAATTTACATCTTATTTGGATAAGAAATTGTTGAAAAGAGCTTTTAGAGAGAAAAGCTCATTGAAATTGGAGAGCAGTAGAAATGAGCTTTCGAGCAAATGTGCTTCTGAACACACGAAAGTTGGAGCCTCAGAACTCTGCTTCTGAAGAATGTCCCTTTCTTCCTCTTCAACCCCAAATCTCTCTTCTTGTCACTCATCTCACCCCCAACTGTCGCACACCGATGAAGCTCATTATCTCTATTCTCCACGAAGGCTTCAGATCCTCCTAATGGTAATTTTTTTCTAACATTTTTAAAGGGTGCTAGTGTATATAATCGTTTATTACCATTTCAGTTTTTTTGAATTAAATATTCCATAATTTATCAATTTATTCTATGTGTTTAAAATTTAAGATTTTTATAATTTATCAATTTTTCTTTTTTATTATATTTTCTAAAAAAATTGAAATTTAAAGTTTCATATTTTTCCCTAAAAATATCAAATTAGTCATAAAAATATATATCATAAAATTCTGTCCATTTTTGTTATTATACATCTATAATGACTTTTGAATTTCATCATTTAAACAAATTTCAATTTATCAAACCAACTTTAAAAAAAAAAGTATCCAAACACAAATCATGTTACAGTTACAAACTTTTATCTTAACTTCAATTTGCAAACCTTAGTTCATTCTAAGTATAGTTTTGCAACTTTAATCCAAAAACACCCAAAATAAATAAATGAGTAACTAACTAGGGCAATATGATGGCCTTTTGGGCCAATCCCAATAACACCGTTCAACAGCAATCAATCATGCAGCAAATCTTTCAATCATTCCCATTTGCCTTGCACATAACAATATGATTTAGTGCCCTCTTTCAAAAGGTGGGTTACGAAATTCTCAAGTTTTAATGTTTTATTCTTCCCTGTGGCTCTCGCTTCCTCCAACTTGGTTTCCTTACACTCTGCTGCAAAAGTCGTGTCTAATCCTAAAGAACAGATAAAAAAGATAGGGACAAAATAAAACTTTTATAGGAAGAAGATAGTGAATAAAGAACTGCATAGCCCAGCTAAGCTTCAGGACCAGGCAAGAAAAATGATGGATCCTTTGCATATCACTTCCTTTAAGAAGTGAACTGGTACTGTCACTTCCTTACTGATAATAGTCCCTTGAGGACTTAGAGAAGACATAAGTTGCTCTGAACCCAACTTAAGTGATCACCTGCACTAATGCTGCTGTTCAGGAATACTGGACAATTAACCACAAAGAGCAGGTGAATTCCTCTATTCCTTCTGACCACCAAGATTGTTGGTTCCCCACTGACAGTAACACTACTAAGCTCAAGAGTGATGGCTCATTCTCACCTACCTCCATAAAAGCAGCAATAGGGGTCGGGTCATATGCAGGCATCATTCAAGCTGTTTCATCAAGGGTTGGCGCAAACTACTTGCTGATTCTAGTTTTTTTTTTTTCCTGAACTTCTTGCCTGTAAAAAAGCTACTGAGATAGCTGTGGAGTTTTAGGAATCAGAACGTCATCATTGAAATAGATTGCCTGGAACTTTTTTAACAATATAACGAGCAAGAATGTCTCCTGCTGTGCTTGGTCTTATCATGGGGATAATTGAAGACTTGATTAAGAGAGATGATCTGATGCATTCCATCTCCTTTTCGATTGTGAAACATGAAGGTAATTCTGCTGCACATTGGCCGGCAGTCTCTTCTTTAAAGGGTGTGGGCTCTAATGGCTGGGTTCTCAGTCCTCCACTCCCTCTTCCTGAGATTCTGACTAAAGATCAGCACTCTTCTCATCTATTTGACCAGAAACCTGTGATTCATAGGGATAGAGAAGGCAATGGTTGATTTTCTCCCTCATTTTGTCTTATGTTTGCTTAGGTCTCTGCTTAGTTCTGGCTTATGACTTTGCTTTGCTATTTCTGTCTGGTTGTGAACTCTTGTTTTTTTTCAGTTTTAATGAAAGGTTCTATCCTTGCTGCTTAGAAAAAACAAAAACAAAAACTAAGATTTAGGAGCCTTTACAGTGAACATTAGTGATCTAGTAACAAAGGTGACAACTCTGCTGCTGAGAGACCAATTTTGGGGCATGAGTACAAATTGACTGAAAATCCAGCAAGGACAGGAAGAAAAGTCCAGTCTCCTCCCAAGCCTTGGCTTCCACCGAGACTCACAAAATTTGCCTGCCACCCAGCTTCCCTCACAGTCTCCTAATTTTCCACCATCCTAACCAATAGAAATCCTCCTTATCTGCCATTGCGTGTCTTAACCCCAAAACATGCTTCCCTGGAAATTTCTGATGCATACTTCCCTTAACAAGACTCTTATTTTATGTATACATATTTTCCTAACCTGTATGTCACATAATTATCATCTTTTCATGAGTCACTAAGATATTGGTTTGTTTTCACATTGCACTGACTTCATCCCAACCCAATTATACTTCAAGCAACACAAACAAGTAGCAAAATTAAGTGCAGAAGATAGTTGCAAAACAATTTTACCTCTTTGTCGCCACCTTTAGCACCTAGCATGCCTTTTTTCCGCTTTTGTGGTGCATCACCCACCTAAAACATTAAAATAAAAGAGGTAAAGAAAGCTCAAGAAACATAAATTCACAAGACTTAGGGTTATACAAGAAAACAAAATGACATGTTAACCGCTTCACCTTCAGATATGGTGAAATCCATATCCATATGTTATAAATAATAATTTAAAAAAAAAAAGAGAGAGACCCACAACTCAGAAGTCATGAACAGTGCAGCCCAGATCAGACTCCGTCCAAAGCATGGGATCACAATTTATCTAGTTTTATAATAAAAAAATGTAATCGCATGTGACTGTAACTGATCTTTTCTTCTCAAATCTTAAATAACACATTTAAAACTTTCTAAGTAGTTGATCAAATTTAAAATTAACATGGTCCAGGGGAGCACGCCAAAGTCAAAAAATATTGTTCAATTAAAAAAAGAAAAGATGAACCAAAGTTTAGGAACTTCCAAAAAAAAAAATCCTAGAAGACGTTTAAAAAAAATCAATTATTAAACAAGTGGGGCAAGCCAGCCCTAGACTTTAAAGAAACAAGGAAAAGAAAGTCATAATTCTCTGTAAACTGTAAATAGTCTTATAGCTAATAAATTGCAAGGAGTAACAACATAACCATGTCCTCCGACATATTATCATAAACCACTAAATTTGTAAAAAAATTTGTATAGCCAATAAAGACTTTCGGGTAGCACAAACCTTCTCCAGTATGCCAAATACAATTTCATACAATCTGGACAAAATTTCAGAATTATTTGAAGAAGCAGACGTAAGAGCCTTCAAAGCTTGCAATCTTCGTGCATGAACTTCAAATCAACCAAATAAATAAGGGTCAAGACCATCTCAACATGGCAAAAAGATAGGGGAAAAAATGATTTGACTTCTAAAAGTCAGGAAATTACGAAATTAATGGAGATTTCAATGTTTGAATAGGTCTAATTTAACTTCACATGAATACCATCTGTAGAAATCTGACAATCTATCATACTCTATTATGCATATAATTTATTTTTTTCTGTTTTAATGTACAATAAATATTTTATTATAAGGAAAATATGCCCAAGTTCACAGGAAATACAGGACAAGCCAAGCCCCGTGCTCAGAATATTAAAACATATCTCCTTCTGCCATTTTAGCAACTTTAACCATTGTGACAAACCAGGCCTAGCATTTGCCAGAGGCATAATACCACTCCCAAGCAAGAATTTTCTTCTGTGCTCCTCAATATTCTGGCCTTCCATTCATAATAAAACATCTCTATTCTCCATACATTCCTAACCTCTAATATCTCAATCTTACTTCAAACTGAAAATGTCAATAAAAAAAATTCAGAACTATACATACACACAACTACAGAGCAATTACTACCTCCATCCCATTTTGTAAGATGATTTTTGGAGATTTGACATCCTATAATATAAGATGTTTTGAGAAAAATAATGATTTATTATGAAGCTTATTCCAAAATTATCCCTCATTATTTCACTCCTTAAATATACTTCTTTCTCCCTCTCCCTTATTAAGTGAAGGGTATTTTTGGAAGTTCATAAAGATATAAAGATTTCAAACTGCATTTAATTGTCTTCAATGGTATTCACAATTTTACCAGAAAATGTCTTAAAATGGGGCAGAGGGAGTATTTCATATTAACAGTCCATTAAGCAACAGTTTCTCATTCTCAGGTCATTTTTAAGGTTTGATTGTTGTTGATTTTTTTTTTCCCTCTGGATATCAATAAAAAAACTTCTAAGGGAATACAAATAAGTGAACTCACAAATAGAGACATACCTTATGCCACAAATGGTTAAAAACATCTCAAGCAAAATTGGGGAGAGGGGGCCTTACATTCAACATCAGCATTTTTGGCTTCTGCAGTAAGCTGTTCTACTATCCGTGGAACAACATCAGCTCGAGTAACACCTCCAACAGCATCAATGTCAGCCAAGGCATCCCAGTTTGGAGTGGGTATCCCACCCCCTGTACCCACACCTTGGGAACCAGTGTCAGACAAAATTCTGGCCAGATAGTAATAGACATACCGTAGCACGCTTCTATCTTCACATTGCTGATTAAGCTGTAGAAAAAAGATAATACTATATGATTTGACTAAAAAAAGGGGTTGATAAAGTATGTAAGCACAATTTTTCCCATGAAATTCAGAAAGACATTCCTGTATATCCCGTAGAGCAGCTCTAATTCAAGAAGGCACCACAAATAGTCCATGGGTATAGAGGGACACACAAGGAATGGTATCTTAAGAAAATAAAGTAGAACCAAAGACATACCATGAGAAGTGAAGGTGCTAATGAAGGGTCCACTGAGTTATACACAGCAAGTTTTGGAAATACATGACGCACTAGTTGCCGCTGAGAATTTTTCTACAATGGAGCGATCATCAAAACCAAACTATATTACTAGAGTATTCAGTCAAGAGACAAAAATATGATCATGTAGGTTCATGAGTGCCAACGCTTACTTGATCAGATGTGGCAGCTAGTTCATGAATACTTCTGGCGAGCTGGGAATATGAAACTGGCTGTAATACAAGTGCACAACACATCAACCACACAGGGCTATACATTATCATTTTCCCCTTTGTGCAAATAAAATCTTCAAGAGTATGTTTATCATTAACTACCAATTCACCAAGGGCAAATAGTAGCACAGCTTTTCAAGCACGACGAGCACAAGTGATGCTGTTAAACTTAAAACCAACTATCTAACTACTCTGATCATCTCCGATCTCTTTAAAATCATTGAGGAAAGCAACCTATTGATCAAATATACTAAACCAGAGCTTGTAGAAGAAAAAGGGAGATATGCAATTCCAGACCTTTTTCCTTTGCTTTTGCGGCATTATATTAGTCCTAACTGGGGCTAAAGCAGCTTTGGCAACGGTTAGGGTGTCGGTCTGGATCTGCATAAACGTGGTTCTCTTGGACTTCTTTTCCCCGGCCGGCTTGCCCAGCGCGGTTGGCTGAGCTGCCGGAGCCGCTGTCGCCGAAGTTGAAGCCGTGGACGATGCCGTTGTTGGGTCCGACGTGATTAGATCCATGAGAGTCGTCCCTGATGAGTCCTGTGAAAATCCGAATGAAGAACACGTTCAAATTTCGAGGGAAATCCCCAGGAAGTGCAACGTGATGCAGAAAGAACAGGAAAGGAAGTTGAGAGGAATTACCGCCATCGGAACTGTTGCTTGTCTTCAGATCAAATTACCAGAGAGAATTTGCACTTGCTGTTCTATATGCCAGTTAGTTGGTACTTCGTCCGGAAGGCCAACCACGAAATTGGGCACAGCGTGCTCAAATCGCCCATCGTTACTTTTTTTTATCTTTTCTGCCCTTTTTTTTTTTTTTTGTTTTGTGTTGTGGAGGGGGGGTGGTTTTGGAGGCCAAATTTTATCTTTTCCGCTGGATCTGAAGTTTTCTTCGTTCTCCAATTATTTTACTTTTGCATTAGTTAAAATTGTGTTTTTTTTTTTTTTTGGGTCAGCAGTTAAAATTGTGTTTATCAATACCTTGACTCTTGAGTATAAAGGAAAATAAATAAATAAAATCATGAATAAAAAGTTTAGATAAATTATACTATGGAACAGTGGAACTATTAAGTTTACCTCTAATCCTATACAGTACTTTTAGATATATACAGATTGCTCATTAACCATGTTTTTACATCAACTATGAAATTTAAAAATAAAATGCATTTTTTTTTTTATCTTGCCATGTTCAGGTTAAGAAAGGAGCGTCTGCTTGAATTTGAAGCTGTAAATTTAACCACCTTTTATCTAACAGCTCATTATAATCAAATCCATTTGACAACGAATTGGATATTTCATCATTTATTTAGTATATATATTAATAACTTCAAATTAAATTTCATTTAATTATAATTTAATTTATCCGCAAAATTTAGGTGACTAGATTGATTCAAGAAGCACAATTGGGGGTAAGTAAAAATATCAAAAGAAGGCAAAAAGTTACTCTGATCCCAAATTATCACATAACATTGAAGGAATTTTATTGTTTCAAAATAAAAGATAATTTGATAAAAATAGTTTCATTATAATATTTTTTTCAATGTTATTTTAAATGAAAAGAAAATTAAAATGATTATAAATTTAAAATTGTATTAAATGAAATGTATTTTTTAATTTTATATTTTTGTTTTAAAAAAATAAATTTGTCTAAAGTGTCATAATTGAGTTTTACTTATATGCAAATTCGGGATACAAAGAATATATCTGAAACAGACGAGATTGCTTCCATGCCATCGCAATGACAACTTGAAACCATGAAATTAAAGGAAATGTGGAATGAGTATATTTGTACTCAATATGTGTTGAGTACTATTATTTTTTTTTTTCCTACCAGACAATATGAATTGAGTACTATGCTTAACAAACTTGTCGATGGGCCTAGTGGGCCAATAAAGGATCTCCAGTCTTATACGCCTTGGGAACTTTTCTTCCGTCTGTGAAACTTCATTTAGCTTTCATTTTGGGTTGCTGATCCAGGTCCATCATTCGTTACACGGAATTGAATAGAAAATAAAAAATAATTTTACGACATAGAAACTATTTTATGTACCCGTACATTTTAAAAAAATGGTAATAATATAATAATAAAGTACCATTGCCATTGAATATTAATATAATATAATACTATTTTTCCTTCATGGCTATACGAGAAACTTATTGTTGTTTCATAGTACTCCTTCGTCTTTCTTGAGAGTAGTTCATGGAGGTTTTGTTCCATCAGCTTTTATCTGGTCTCGTTTTATTTTGTGTCTGTCTTTTGTGTCTGGGCTTGGGCCCTTTTATGTTGTAATCTTTTTATTTGTGTTTAATAATTCTTTTTTCTGTTATTAAAAAATATTATCAATGTCAGTTTTTGTGCCTATAAGATGCTTCGGAATCTATTTGTTTCTCACTTTTTTTTTTTGGGCCAGCTATTTGTTTCTCACTTTGATGATGTAGTAACACGCTTTGAATGTACCAAAGCTCTAAGGGAAGAGATAGAGCAACGGATGAAACTAATTAAGTCTGCCATGAACACAAACCTTGGAGAATCCAAAAATATTTTGTGTTTATTATATATAATATAATCTACTCCCTCTGTTAAAAAATGTAAGGCATTTTTAATTGAATCTCACCCCAATAAAATAATTACCCACTTTTCAACTAACCTTATCTTTTCATCTTTACCCTTATTAAACACTCTATAATAAATATAAAATCATTATCAATGAGGGCACTTTTGAAAAAAGAAAATGATTACATCTTGAAAGACTAAAAATGTCTTATATTTTTTCACATCCAACTCTCAAAAAATAACTTACATTTTTTAATAGAGGGAGTATAAGATTTTTTTTTCTTTAATAACTAGTGAATTCTTTTATGCTATGTTTGGATACACATGACTGTGAATTTAAATTTGAGCCAAATCCATTGTTTGGATAATTAAAAATGTATGGATTTGGATTTGACCCAAATCCAAATTCAAGTTCTCCCTCAATCTCTTTGTAATTTAAAATCTTTTTTAAACCTCTACTATTTTAAATCATAACTCAAGCTCTTTTATAATTTGACTAAAATGCATGAAGGCTTGATCGACCTAACAACAGTAATTAGACTAAACCACCAAAGTTAACGGAAACAAGCTGCCACCATTGACAAGGACGGGACAACCAACTTCCATCGAGACCGGACTAACAGTGACGATGGGGACGAGAAGACCTGCTTCCACCAAGACCAGACTGACGGCGACGATAGGGATGGGATGGCAGACTTCCAACGGGACCGGATCGATGATGATGACGAGGACTAGAAGACCTACTTAGACTAGCACCAGACCGATGAAGACGACGGGAGCCAGACGGTTGACTTCCACTGAAACTGAATCTATAACAATAACAAGATTGAAAGTCCAACTTCCACCGGGCAAGGACCAAACGATGACCTTCCATCACCATTCCTTCAATTTGGTGGCCGTCACCATCACCATCACCATCTAATGTTGATGGAAGTCGACCATTCGGTTCTCATCGTTGGCATCGATTCAGCCTGGTGGAAGTCGACCATCCGGTGCCCATTGTCGTTGGTTCAGTCCCGATAGAAGTCAATCGTCTGGTACTCGTCATCGGTGTCAGTCTGATCTTCATGAAAGTCAGCCACCTTGTCCTCATCGTCGGCATTGGTCGGTCCTGGCAGAAGTTGATCGTCTGGTGCCTGTTGTAGCCATCGGTCTGGTAACGATGAAAGTTGGTCGTCTAATCCTAATCATCATCACTAGTTCGGTCTTGGTGGTAGTCGACTGTCCCGTCCCTATTGTAGCTGTTGGTCCGATCCCCATGGAAGTCTGCCATTTGGTGTCCGTCATCACCATCGATCCGATCTCGATGGAAGTCGGCCGCTCGATGCTCATCATCATCGTCAATCCCATCCTAGTGGTTGCGACTGTCTAATCCCAGTGGAAGTCGAAGGTCCTGTCTTGGTTGTCACCGGTGCCATAGTCCCAATCAGCTTTGTTTGTTTGATCTTGTTAGAAGTTGGTCATTCGAATCGTCAAGTTTGACTAATCTTTCAAATTTTTTTAAATTCAAATTTAAAATTTAAAATTTAAAATTTTATTTTAAATCTAGACAAAGGATTTTAATATTGTAATTTCAAATTTTTTATATCATCTAAACAAAGAATTTAGAATCTATGAATTTTAAATGTGAGATTTCAATTATGAGATTTTAAATTCAAATTCCCAACTTAAATCCACCCATTCAAATACAACCTTAATAAATTTTTAAATCAATAAAATGTATAAATTAAATCATCATGATCAGCTAATTAAGTAACCGTCCTTTGAGAAAATCCAAAGTAAATGATGAACACAGGTCATTGATTAAACCATCAAGTTTTGTTTGATATTATTGAAGCATTCTCCGCTGTCATGTTCTATATTCTTTGTTTTAATATATATTTGACTTGGCTTGTTGCATACTCAAATCACCATTTGTTAATTCCTGCTTACTGGTTTTGATGAGTAGCTAGGGATACGTCTCTACCATTATGAGAATACTTCTAGTTATTGTCTCATTAAATTGTCTAGCACAGCTTTCGCTTTCATTTATTAGTTAGTTCTCTACTCTATTACTGATACTAGCACGTACTGCCACCTCAATATTTTTGGTTTATGCCTTTATGGTAATTAACCAGCACAGGCAAAAAACTGTTACCTCTGTGCGTGCGCGTGCGTGTGTGTGTGTGTGAGTTATTGCACTGACTTGTTGAAACTGTTGCCTACTGATACTGATAAGTTATTGCACTGACCAGGCGACACTTTATTTGATTTTAAGAACCCTTAGCTTGCTTGTATGAACAATACACACCTACAAACACATTGAATAAGATTCTCTCCATACGCAGAAGAAATGATAGAAAGGGAAGTTTTGGTAAGCCCTAGATTATGTCAAGTGGATTCTCCCCATTTGGGAAGAATCAAGTCTCAAAAGCGATATGTGCGTAACACACACAGCGCCACTCATCGCCCCTTTCGGTGTATGGAGTTAAAAAAAAAAAAAAAATTCTCTATGCACTCTACTGTCAGTAAACACATTAATCATGAGATAACTCAAACCTTTTACATTACCTCATATTAAATATGGACGTATAGATGAAATATAAATTTCACAAAGAATTTTTTTTGTATGGCTTTCTCTAAATAAAATATCGTAAAACATTTAGTTTAATTTATGCTATAAGGATATAATTAACCAGAAAAGAGAAAAGCATGATGGATATATACCCCCCCGGGCCACACACACACACACACATAAACGAAAGATCAATTCAACCGATGATCCATCGAAACTCCCTTGTACATATGCTTATACAAACAATAAATACAATCATATACAAAGAAAATTACATGGTGCTGATTCATTATTCAATCCTATTAGACTCAATATTTTGATCTACAACACAAAAAAGCCGGCCGGTTTGATCACACTATGTCCCCTCGAGGAAGTTATTTGACCGATCATCGTGAGCTTTAGCAGAAGAAGAAGAGGTTGGAGTTCGACAGACAGGACAAGAGTCGTGTAGCTTGAGCCATGGGTCAACGCAACGAAGGTGATAAAGATGGCCACAATCAGGAAGCAACCTTAACGTGTCTTCATCTTTATAATCCGCTAAGCAAATAGAACAAGAATTAGAAGGATCTTCAATATTATTGCTGGAATAATGGTTTTTATTCTGCTTCATCTCAGAGTAAGAGAGCTTGGGGAAGCTGTTGAGAGTGGAATCGTCAAGGCCACGTTGTGCTGCCGGCACGGCGGCGGAATCCGGAGGAGGAGGAGAGCGAACAAGGAAATTGAACACGAAGGTGTTGCCGGAGAGCCGGTGGAGGCGGAGGCAGGCAAAAGAGATGGATAGGATTAGAAAGACGACACCAAAGACGAAGGCGACGGTGCCGCTGTTGAGGTTCATCTGTAAATATTAAAGCCAGAAGCGATAGATTGAGGATGGATCTTTTGGGAATCAATGGAAGCTAAAGGTCAACCATTTCTTGCTTTTCAATCTTTCATTTTCTTTTAAAAAAAACAAAATAAAAATGCATTTCAAGTACTTTAATTTAATGAATTCTATGGAAAAAAATCATGCCTAGCAATTCAGATATTAAATTTAAATACTTATGTAATTAATAAAAACTAATGATTAAAAATCAAATCAAATTTGACTATTGTATTGTCAATTGATTTGAAATTCGGTTCAGTATAAAAAAATCGCTTGAGGATTGGGCTGTTTTGAATTGAAAATCGAATCTAATTTTTTTAAAAATCAATCTATTTAAAAAAATATTAATTTTTATCTTTTATTTTTTATCAATTTTAAAAAAATGACTGATTTTTTAATCATTTAATATTATGTGCATTATGTAACTTATTAAATTATGATAAATTTAAAATATTTAGTTTATTTTGAAGTTAAATAACAATCTCATATTTATTTTTTTATATTTAAATTATTATATGTATATAAATTTTTTTAATTTAAGATGATTAGTCTAACCTGATTAAATCCTATGAATTATAAACTTTTGACTTTTTCAGTTTAATATTGGATCCGATTGTGAAAATATTGATAAAAATATTAAAAATAATGATATTTTTTTCATGGACGAGAGAGACTTAACATTTAAAAATTAAGGATATAAGAATTGTAGATTCATTCAAGAGTGTTTCTACTGTACGCTAACGTAAGTCGATAATTGTGACTATTTTTTAATGCCAATTATTAATTAAATAATTAGTAATTTATTAGTATTGAATTTTTGAAAATTTATTTGTTAATAGAATTATTGTTTTGAAGATAAATTTATCAGTAATATTTAAGGTGTGAGTCTTTTTAGTTTTTATAGATATAATTTTAAAAATAAGATTAAAAAATTGAAGGTATATGCCATAAGACTCCAAGTTAAGTTTTTTTTTTTTAAAAAAATGAAAGTAACTACAGAAGTACTTAAAATTTTACATTTTTAAAATTTGATATATTAAATACCACAAAACTTATTAACTTTATTTTCTAAAATAATCATGATTTTTAAAATTTTCAATACTTTTTTCTAAATGATGCTTTAATGTCATTTCCTCTCTATTTTATTTTTATTTTGTTTTGCTTCCTTTTGTGTGTTTGTGTGTGTGTGTGTGTGTTTTTTATACAAAAGCAAGCAAGAGCTAGAAAGGAAGAAAAATAAAAAGGAAAAGAGGACAAACAGATCAAAGCCTAAGCATAACACTTGTCCCCTGAAAACATGCTAAAACAACCAACCGAAACACTAGGGATCCAATTAACATCTTAATGTCCACTATGGCAGAGTTTGGCCATGTAATTGGCACATTGAAATTGAATCATGCTTTCGTGTGCATGGTGAAGTTGTTGAAAATTGTGCCCTATAATCAATCATAATACCATACACATTATTATTTAATAAATTTTTCTTTTATTATCATATCAATTGCATATTTACTATGATAACTATATCTTTGGACAAACTATAGTGATTGTCATAAATGTCCTTGGCTGGTCATATATGAGAGATCATAGATGAAACAAGACTAGTATAACTCTGATTAATTATAGAGATACAAATCAAAATCATAGGCACTTGAAAGAGTACAAAGTACTGAACCGACCAACTATAAGAAAGTTGAATGCTATAAGTCATAAGCTTATTTCATATGTAACTATATTACTAAACCCGTTGACCTGAGATTATCATGAATTCCTACATAATGACCACTGAATTTTGATCTAGTCAAAAGTGACTTTTAACTGGGTGATCATAAAGGCTATGATTGAGTTTAGTGACATTCATGCAGAGGGGTATGAGTGGTCAAGATGAAATTTATCCCTCACATTAAGTGAGAGATATTATTGGATCTCTTGATAAGTAAGACTGAAAAAATGTATGGCCATACTACAATGAAAAGGGTTTTTTCATTGCTATAGTCAGTTCACTTAAAGATCGAGAAAGTAATGATTAGGTAAAGGAGAATGATAATTATATGTTTCACACTTCACCGAAATATCGTGTGACAAAAAGAATGTGATACGGTTGCATAATAAGTTACATTGGATCATCGATCTTCATGTGAATTAGATAGTTGCAATGTTTTGCTAGAGGCCACTTGTGACTTGTGGGCTAATAGCATAATTAGCCTATTGCTAATTTTACATGGGCTAAAGTCGCATACAAGAACTCTCAACTCGAGTTATAAGTCTAAGTTTATTGAATTTGAAATATATCTAGATTCAATAAATGTAATATAGGGTAAATGAATTTATATATATATATATTTGAATATTTATTTGATAAATACTTATATATATTTATATGAAATATAAAATTTAAAATATAATTATATATATATATATATATTCATGTGTGTGTATCTAATAAATAAATATATATATATATATATATGTATGATATGTGTATATGATATAAAAATTAAATATATATATATATATATATATTGAACTACATGTGTGTGCGTGTGCGTGTATTCATATATATATGTGATATATATTATATTATATTATATCATATTATATTGTGTTGGTTTTAAATTTAATTTTATATGATAGATTAAATTTAATAACTAACATGAATTGAGAGAATATCATGTCAGTTTTATAATTTAAATTTATAAGATAAATTTGAATTAGATATGATATCATAGATTAAATTTATGAGATAAATTTAATTAAATTTTTTGTGGGTTCTTTAAGTGAAAAATGAAAACCCTGATCCATATACTATATATATAGATAGGGACATACTTTATGAGGAAATAGAAAATTAGAAAAGCTCTGACAGCAAAAACACTTTGAGAGCCACGAAACACCTTATAGAAAGGAAAACTAATGTTCAAAGAAGAATAGATGCTAGGAGCACTAAAACGCTATTCAAGTTAGAGAGCTGTTTGTGTAAATACCGGTAAAGGGAGCATATTTACATCATCAAGTCCTGAGATCCAAACTCTTAAAGAGAACATGCGCTAAGTTTGAAGAATTAAAAGGTAACTCTTCTATCCACCTTGATTTAAATAAGTTCGTTCGGTCCACATCAGGATAGAGACTTTAAAAATTTAATCTTTCGCTACGCCTTCCTATCTAACAGAAGTTCCATGCCATTTATGAGAAATAAAATATCCTTGATATAAGCTAGATTATTATGAAGATGATGATCTAGAGCGCTGTCAGATTAAAGTGTGCTAGGAGCATTTATAAAATTTGAATAAAGCCTTAGTCCATGAAGAATAATCTTTTGACATGCTTCAAGACTAGTTTTAATCACCATAATCTCTGTACCAGTTACTGTGCATTGGCCTAAGTTCTTATGAAAGCCCATTATCCATTCTCTTTTGTGTTTCTAATTACTCCTCCACAAGCTGCATTTTGGTAGCTTCAAATAGAGGCATCCACGTTAACACATAAGTAAGACTTAGAGGGGATTCCATACCTCTTCATGTTTACAAGAGCCATGAAAAACTCTATAGAGGAGCTCATCCTAAGATATCTACTCCATAAGCAAATGTAAGCACTTATGCGGTATTTTAGTGGGAGTTGGGTTAAGGCTTTCAAAACTAAATCTGCAATAAGAAGTCAAAAGTTCCCAATAAATCATGCTAAAATATTAGTTTATGGCCACTTGTGAAATTTCTCACATCTTGAGTTATGCTTGATATTCCAATTTAGCCAGTCCTATAAGTCATTGGGGGAAAAAAGGATAAGGCAGTTACTAGTTAAGATTTCTTTTTTCACAACAAAGGAAAATAAACTATACAGTAGTCAGAGCATCCTGTTGCATCACAAGGACTAAGTCATAAAAAGGAAAATTCAAAAGATGAAACCTAGTTATGCATGATAAGGCCTTCTTCGCAAGGACATTCACTATTTCATTAGTATCTCTATAAAGCCTTTGAACATATACTTCCTAGGCACAATTCAACAGGGCTTATATCTTAGAGACAACATTAGAATTCAGTTGAGTAAGAGAAATTGTTTCATTTATTTCTTCAATAGTTTCCAAAGAATTCAATTCAATAATAATATTTCTATACTTGAGATCTCAAAAAACTTTAAGCCCCTACAAACAAGCACATTACTTAGCATGTAGTGGATCTCCATCATTCATCTTAAACATGAATCCACTTTGAAATTCTGCCATATTATTGCAAATCAAACTAGCATATCTGAAAATATTCTCTATTACAACATACGCACCATCCACATTCAATTTATTCCATCCATCAGTAGGCAGGTACTAAGTTCCACTTAAGATAGGACTAGTATACCTCCACCATGTAGTTCTGTGAGCTTACTCCAATACTCTTTGAAAGTATTCATAATAACTAGAATCTTAGCATTGATAGCAGTATTCAAAGTGGTTTTGTCTAGAAAAATATTCTTATTCCGTTTCTTCCAAAGAAGCTAACACACAGTAGAGAAGAAAGAGCTCCAAGGAACACCTCTCTTGTTTCTTTAGGATTGCACATTCCATTTGATCCACTCATGCATATGTGTACCAAAGAACTTCACTCTGTCCTCATGTACAATATGTTCCATCCAAAAACTTTTTGTGATTGGGCATTATCGTAAGACAAGGATAAGATCCTCCACATCATCCCAACAAATTTTATACTAGACATCCACAAGCATTCCATGTTGCATTCAACATGCATTAGTAAGCAACTTGTTATGATATGATAACCATAAAAAAGATTTATAGCATTTTAGGACTTGAAGCTTCCAGTTCGCTTCCAAGTGCTATGGTAATTAGTTGTATGTTGAGAAACATTATTATAGGCAAACTTGACTGAAAATTGGCCACTCTTGCTCCACTTCCAACTAGCATCCTGTTGATCTTCATTAATAAGGGTCTCAATTCTGACAAAATCTCCTGTGGCTTTAATTCCAAACCA